AACTAAATTTTGTTCGTATTAATTTCTAAATACAGCATCGTCTGTCCTTATCTTAATTGTYCTTCAACTTTTCCTTCCCAGCATGAAGTAACTTTTTATTTCTTGTCTAAAATTAACCAATCAGCTGTGCCAATCAAATAAAATGCATTCAAAGCTTTATCGCTCCTAAGTCTTAGTAATTGCTAAACAATTCAAAAGTGTGGTTTGTATGTAGGACAAGCTGATGCATCTCACCATTTCATTTTATTGTGGGGCTTGTAAGCCTTTTTTGGCTAACCAGTTGAAAAACAAATTATTTCGCATTTGGCAACTGTATTGGATCATTAACTAAGCCTCAAGGAAAAATATTGAACTTAATGTTATTTATTACAATCTTTATAATAAATATTATGCGTTATGGTTTTTATATTAACTTAGCTTAAGCGAATGACTACTTAAATGACAGGAAGATGCGACGAATTGATTTCAGGACGTCCGAGCATCAGTCTGGGAAATCAGTAGCTTAACATATATAAAATTCCCGATATTTCAATGAACATATATCCGTATCCAGTAACTTTAGTAAGGTCGATATTCATTATGCGTGAAATTTATGTTTTACGTTAATCGTCAAACAGTGCTATTCGGAACTCCACCACCACAAATAATAAATTAAGTAAGACAATATACACAAAATAGCAAATATTTTATAGCAATGCAAATACTGCAGAGGTGTCGGCATTTCACCAAAGGCGCGAGGATTTTTGTAATACGAGTATTTAAAATTAGTCGAGATAAATATAATGTCACSAACTTAGTTTTCAACAATATCATTATAGAGATCCAAAGATTTCTAAATTTAAATTTGGTACAGAGGTCCACAGCAATGAAAAGCATCTGTGATTTTAAAAAGTGGGCATTTTCCAAGCTCTTAAATATTAACAATTCATATCTCATGACTGCGAAAACTTTCCCAACTGYAAAAGTGGATGCAAGAGTGAAGATTTCACTCATTAAAAGTTTTCTAAGAATTTAAAGTTATGATTTCTATATTGCAAGATAGGGAATAATAAATTTAACGATTTCTATAAGTTACCTTAATTGTATAATACTATCATTGAAATTACAATATTTCCATCATGTAAAGTATACTATTTGCCATTTTAGGAATACTACATGATTCTATAACAACTACGAATTAAAATTCGAATGCACACTTTTACTGTTCTGAATTCATCATTGTGTTAATAGTCGCCAGCTTACATCATCACCGACCGGTTACGTAGATAATCAAGGTATTGGGACACTGAGAGGTACTTTCGGAGAAGGAACATTTCTATTTTTATTTCGGTGATATTAGATATAGCCGCAATATATTCTTTAAATATTTTATACATTGARATGTAAASATAATGTCAAATAGTGGTAAGCTTTTACAGTTAATATTGTTCTAAAACTCTAAAAATATAGTACCGATATTTTAATATAATGATACATTTATCCTTTTGAAATATTGAACTGTTGATTCTGTATGTTATAGAAATAAATAAAATGCATATGTATATTATTTGATATTTGATTTAATTTGGAATTTTACAATTTCAAGCTTTGTATCAGCTAAACATAATCCTCGCCTTTGAGTTAATAGTCACTCTACTGCGCAATACTGCTTTCTGTTAAATGTATCTGGAAATAAAAACCTTTGATATTGATATTAGCGATGGCTGTTTAATAATAAAGCGGAATGACAGTACAATGCTACAAATATCAACGAGTTTCCATTATCGGTATTAACGAATCAGCTCTAAATTTCAAACTTCTACTTGTATATGTTTATAATCTTGCAACATGTTGCTAAAGAGTATAATACTTTTGTACAARTAACGGTTGTACGTATCATCTAAAGCTAAGCGGTATTTTCGCTAGTTGACGCTGAAAGCGCCTAGTTCTAGTTTTATTCGTCGCATCGGGTCATGCTATACCTTTTTGGAAAGCTCATTTCATGCTCTAATACGTGTTTGATTGATTGTCGTTTCTTTTTAAGTCGTTCGTGTTGCGTCGCAAACATGGAGCAAAATAAAGAGAAAATGCGGCATATTTTACAGTACTACTACGATAAAGGCAAAAATGCATCTCAAGCCGCCAATAAAATGTGTGCAGTTTATGGACCCGATACAGTTTCCATTTTCACTACACAACGATGGTTTCAACGTTTTCGTTCTGKTGTAGAGCCATGAGCCATCAAAAAAAAAATTGTGAACAATTGAAAATTCAATAAAAATACCACACGAAATACCGCAAGACTTTTTTGGCAACCTAATATATAAATGATTAGAATGAGGAGAGGAGTTGAGCGTCACTTTCTGCCTGTCCGTCCGACGTTCGTCCACGTAAGCTGTAACTTGAGTAAAAATTAAGATATCTTGATGAAGCTTGGTTCATAATTTCTTTGGCAAAAATGGTAATGTGAGATATCTTAACGAAACTTGCTACCCGTATTCTTGGCAAAAAAGTGAGTACGACTTTGTAGTTGGGCGTAACTTAATTAAGATATATGATATATATAATCTGTAATTTGATACAGTCCTGGATCCCTGTGATCACAAAGGTTTGAAAAAAGAGATATGATCCCGCCCTCTAATAGGTATACAATGTACATATAATGTATATTTCTCCAAAATCACTAGCGCTTGCAAATTCACTTAAATGAAAATATAYAAATTTTACTTGCAGCATGGCCCAAGATGGATTCATGGGAAAATGTGTCAAAATATGACGATGGGTGTGGTACCACCTAGATATCTCCGGACCTACTCAACCAAATTGAAAACATAACATTATCTTCACCGTTCTATGTTACACTGTAAAAATGGACGTAAAACGTAGTTGCAGTTTATCTCTCATATAAGACAATTTAAAATTTTCTTTGGTTCTTTCAGTTTCCATTGCTCGAATYAAGCACCAATGAGTATATCCGGATAAAACATTGAGCAAATAGTAACATTATGRTATAGCTATTAAAGCCCCAGGTACYAGAAATATAAATTCCAGAGACTTYGGCCGACTTTCCTTATCGGTAGATTMTTGGTCAATGTGTGGTATATGTAATRRAAATTATATATATAWCTGTCAGTATSTAAAATATCTCAGAAAAATTAACTGMAAGTAGAATATTTGATACTCTATAATTTAGTGGCGAATATAATTAAAATTAGCGRAAACCGGATTTAAATCCAATCCTTGCAGAAGACATTGCCCTCACATTCCTTTGTAATAATGAAAAAAATAGCCGAAAGTCGGACTGCAACCACACCTACTTCCCATATGACACCATTTAAGTTCAACTTGATTCTTTCACTTTCCAGTACACAAATCACTAAGTAATTAATATATCGGGRAAAATTTTCTTTAAAGTATCGGAAACTCAGAACCAAAAATTGTCTCAATCTTACTACAACTGTGCAAGACCCTAGGTATCGAATATTTGGGCCTCAGTACCCATAAGGGAATCAGGTTCGCCTTCTCCTGGCATTATACTTTTACTGGCACTCTGCAGGATGGAGAAGTGCTTCCTCCATAATTTTAATAAGCTCTGGGCATCGGTCACTAGATCACCTTTCTGGGTTCTACAAGAGTATGCACCGGTCTTGAAACCTTCTGTTTCCGACGCCTGGCGGCCAGCTTGCCAAGCTCTTCGTACTCACGCATTTTGGTTTCTCTTTTTCTGTCTGCAAATGTRTCTCGCTTCCCTCTTCTGTTTTATCCAGCAACAAGTTGTGGTCGATCGTAATGTTGAAAGATAGGCAGTCTGTTTTCTCTCCGCGTCGACACGGCATTCCTCATCGTACGGAGGAGTCTCTCTCCCACCACGAATTCCACACCAAACTTGCGCTTCTTTATATTGCTATTGCAGTAAATGCCACAAGGACCTACTCGCCTTAGTCCTTGTCCCGTCCATCGCATTTCTTGGACCACGGTGATGTCGGCTTTTATTTTCGTGAGGATATCAACCAGATGGGCAGCGGCATCTTCCCAATTAAAGGACTGAGCATTTCAGATGCCTGCCCTCAAATCGTAATCCTTAATTCGTTTGCCATGGTCGTCATTAAAAAGGGGATCTCTCATATGAGGCTGTTTATACTTTTTGAGTGGGTGCGTTTTTTACGTGACGGGTCCCAAACCCAGTGTACAACCCTGTGGAGGGGATGTTTTGCCTGCTGAGTTTAGCTCGCCAGAGGATACTTGGTCAAAGACCGGAAGTCGTGAGCTGCTTGCGCCTTATGTAAAAAAAAAATCGTTTCTGGCCACTCCCAAGTGAATGGCGATCAGAGAACTTTCCTCACTTGCTTGAACTTCTACATATGACTGCATCCTCCAAACAATATGATAACATTACAAAGAAGAAACACTTGATTGTTTGTTTGCATTGAATGGGCTCCAAAACTACTTCACCTATTTGAAAATTATTTCATAGCTGAGAAGCTACGTTATCTGTGGTGAACATACCCTAAATCAGAAAGGTTATGGAAGTCGTTATCAAAACAAATGACTTCATATTTAAGTGTGCTTTGATAACATTATATAGCTTTTTGAATTATTTAATTTGGACACTCCATTCGAAATATATCATACGTTTAAAATTGTAATTTGTTTGAAAAATGTCGCATGGTCGCCACGCAAGCTGTTTGGTTAGGCCGCACCATAACGGGAAAATGTTTATAGCATACTAGCTGTCAAACTGATTGCTATTGCAGTTGGTAAGCAGATACTACTGCGAATTTACCTTTATATATAAAAACAGCACATTACTGATGTGTATTATGTACAATCTATTAAGCAGACAACTCTATTAACTGGCCAAAAAGGCTGGTAACCACTCATTGAGAAAGCAGCTTTAAATTCGTTGTTTTTTCCAATGAAATTTATATGTATGAACACATTCAAAATTAATCCTCAAATGCAATCACTTGGATTCTTATTTTTTACTGTATTCAATAATTCATTATGGAATACTATATAAATAATAGTATTAAATGTATACTACAGCAACACGTGGCTGGATCCACTAGTATTATCTACTACATACAAACATACATATCTGTACATACATATACAGACAAGATGCACACATATGTATTTACTACTATTCCTACCTACCTTTAATTAAAAGGTTTTGGAATAGTAAAAGGTTTTATGACCCTAAAAAAATTTGAGGTTCGCGTAAACAATGTTTTATCTAGTTTGCATCCTCTCAAAAATTCCGCAAAGCTCGCCACTATCGGTGATGCTTTTTATTATAGCTTTTGACAAATTAACTGAGATATGACTTAAAATTAAAAGCATTAAACTCACTATATCCCAGCTGAAACACCATCCAATGCAGGATAACCCTTGCCAACAAGTGCTACTTTGGACAAACTCTATAAATCACTCATAATTAACGTCCTGCTATACGGTGCAGAAGCTTGGATGATGACAACAACTGATGAGTCGATGTTGCGAGTTTTCGAGAAAAAAGTTCTGCGAAAGATTTATGGTCCTTTGTGTGTTGACACCGGCGAATATCGCATGCGATGGAACGATGAGCTGTATGAGATATATGATGACATTGACATAGTTCAGCGAATTAAAAGACAGCGGCTACGCCGGGGGAAGCAGAGGAAGAGGAAGACCTCCACTCCGTTGGAAGGACCAAGTGGAGAAGGGCCTGGCTTCAGTTGGAATATCTAATTGGCGCCATGTAGCGAAAAGAAGAAACGACTGGCACGCTGCTGTTATCTCGGCTATAATCGCGTAAGCGGTGTCTACCCAAATTAAAAAGAAGACGATTTATTGCAATATAAAATATCCCCGAACTGCTAACAATAATTTTAAGAAAATACTAACACAGTTTAAAAAATGGTGCATGAAATCTGGTTCAACAATTTGCATTGCAAAATGTAAATTACTACATATTTACAAAAAGACAAAATGTATATATCCACAGTTAGATTTTGATCATATTGTAATAGAATCCGTAAGCAATGTAAACATTTTTGGAGTACATTTTGATAAAAGGTTCAATTTTCGGTATCAATATCTTAACCTAGGAAATAACTTAACAAAAAGACAGCAGTAAGAACCTAGTAATTGTATCTTGGCGGAATGTAGCCTAGCAACAATAAAGGAAAGGGTATACGAATGAAAGATGCAACTAATTTCAAAACTGATATACTCTCCAAATGCCAGCTTACATAAAACCGTAATCTACGCTTCACGTCATAAACGGAACTTCAGACTAAAATTCAGTTTATGCCGCTGTATCAAATACGGAAAAGACTTAAACATAAATCAGCCCCCAATGTACACGAGGGTCAACAGACAGCCGGAATGGTTGTTAAAACAAGAAAAAATGTTAACATCGACTGCACCGAAGCTAATATACCCTTCACAGGTGCATTTCTTTTAGTTTATACGGAAAC